TCAGAGACTGGGAAAACAATCACCCACCCCCCCAGGAGTCAGCAAGAGGGACTGTTCCCGAGCCTACCTGAGAGTAGCCGGTGCCAGAACCAGGGTTCGGTTGCTGTGACGAGCCAGCTTCCATCAGGTCCCGTTTGGCGTGGTCCGCAGCCTCTGCTGGGCTTCAAAACGCCCCACCACCCGCCCGATCTGGATGCCTGCGCCTCTTCTATGGAGACCGGAACCAGCGTCTCCAGGTGCCCGCTGATGACGTCACTGCACTTCCTGCTTCTGGAATGCATAGCCACATCCCCATAAGTCGCACCTGGTCCTCCTTCCGTCCGGCACCCTGCACAGCCAGAGAAGGGGAGGAAGGGCTCCCTAGGCTCCTGGGGGAACGGATGCTCCGGGCTCACCAGCGGTCCCTCCACTGAGGCCTTAAGGCGATCCGACCCGCAGCCCCACTCCACTCACCATGAAGGGATTGCGTTGGGAGAGGAGGTAAGCTACACATGGGAGTTTATACTCTTCCAGGACCCCCAAGAGTGCAGAGACCCCTCAGGCTCCTGAACGTGTATCCTTCTGGATCAGGAAACACTAAAAACTGAGGATGGAGGCCTGCCTTTAAGGCATGGGGATTACGTGTTTCCTGACCTGGAGGGAGGAACTCTACGTCTCAAGGGGCTGTCCTGGAAGAAAAATTAATTACCCATATTCTTATCCGAAACAAATCAAATTATCTTGTCTAGGAGACAGGGAGATCTGATAGAGGAAGATTACTAGGACAGTGAAGGAGACCCAGACCCACTGGACAGCATTACCATCTCACTACAGTCCATTTTAAGGGACCCATGCTATATGAGACCTTACTTAGCGGTTTGGTCATATACATAAGGTGAGAGCACAACTGGTGGAGGTGAACACATACTGGTTTGAATACATTACATAAGGTGAACTAAGAAGCATTCCATTTCTACATAATAGTGGATGGAAAAAAAAACCACAGATCCTGCATGGACACTTATTTAATAAATTATGTGATAGATGATTTAAAGTTGTTTACTTACTGATAGTGGAGCGCAGAACTACATTGTTGTTCTCATATTCTTCTCAGAAAGAGGTCAAATGTGTTCCTAGATCGGCAAGTATCACTGACGGGAGAGACCTGTGTATAAAAACACAGGTCTCTCTCCTGCCAGCAGTAACATACTGCTGTGTATTTCTCTGCAAAGCAGAGCAAAGCAGTATGTTTCTCCAGTAAAACAGCACACAGTTAACCCTTTGATCACCCCAGATGTTAACCCCATTCTGCCCAGTGTCATTAGTACAGCGTCAGTGCATTTTATTAGTACTGATCACTGTATAAGTGTCACTGGGATCTCAGTGGCAGTTAGTTCCCCCCAGTGTCAGAATGCACACCGCAGTCCCAGAGTCCCGCTATAAGTCACTGATCGCCATTACTAGTATAAAAAAAAAATGTTTAAAAGAATTCCAGTATATATACACCCGCCATTTGTAGACGCTATAAAACTTTCACAAACAAATCAATTTACATGTATTGGGATTTGTTTTTTGCAAATAGATGTAGCAGAATAAAATTTGTCCTAAATTAATGGCGAAATTTGATTTTTTTTTTTTTTTTTTTCAAAATGGTCAGTTTTTTTTGTTTATAAAATTCTCTTCTAACATTCTGCTAAACTTTGTGATTTGCATAGTACTGCTTGGACCTTGAAGGAGACACTCCCCGGAAGCTTGTCCTCAAAATTGTATGTTAGTGCAAATAAAAAAAGTATCACGGACAGTACTCAATTGTTTCATTTGTTTATAAAAAAACCAAATGCACAGGTGATCAAATGCCACCAAAAGAAAGCTCTATATGTGGGGGAAAAAAATTACATAAATTTCATTTAAGTACAGTGTTGCATGACTGCGCAATTGTCAATTAAAGAAACAGCACCGTGTCAAAAAAATGGCCTTGTCAGGAAGTGGGGTAAATTCTCTGGAGGGCAAGTGGCTAATAAAACAGCTCAAAATGTGGTGCTTTCCACATACATGTACTGTAGGAAACCAGTAAATCTATTTCTAGAAATATATTGAGCAATGTTTCCATTATTTCTGTATAATTTACTGATTCCATTGCACAGCTGCATATAATAGAAAGTGAAAATTTAAACACTAGGAACTACTTCTTGCAACATAGTATCAAGCATTGCAGAAAAGAAAAGCATATTGAGTAACAAGTCATTACAGGTACATCTCAATAATTTAGAATATCAAAAAGTTAAATTTATTTCAGGGAGGGCTTTCACATGGATGTTTCGATCTGGTTTGCTTACCCGTTTTTCAGGGGGACTCGATTGGAACCTCCATTCTCCTCTGTGGAGTGGTGGATGTAAATGGACATGTGTCCGTTTAAACCCACCAACATCCAAACCGCCAAAAAGGGACGGATGGGGACACAGAGCTGTCATCCACTTGTTCAGTGGGGATCAGTGGAAAGATCCCCCACTGTGCCTGCAGATCCGATAAACGAGTCCATTCCATGTGAAAAGGACCTTAATTCAATTCAAAAATTGAAACTCATTATATAGCTTCATTACACACAGAGTGATATATTTCAAGCATTTCTTTTATTTTTGAGGATTATGGCTTTCAGCTAGTGAGAACCCAAAATTCAGTATCTCAGAAAATTAGAATACAGAAGACCAATAAAAAAAATTGATACAGACATGTTGACTTACTGAAAAGTACATACAGTATATTATGCTTTTGTCAATGGCTGTCTTCTGGACAACTGTCAGCAGTCTTCCTCATGATTGTGTAACCTACTGAACCAGACAGAGACCATTAAAGGCTCAGGAAACCTTTACAGGTGTTTTGAGTTAATTAGCTGATTAAAGTGTGACACCATGAGTCTACTTTATGGAACATTTCCACAATATTCTAATTTTCTGAGTGTTAATAAATCTAAATTATGATTCGGCACTTATATTGATGGCAAGCTTGCAAAATATTTGGTTTTTATGATTAGTCATAATTAATATTAATATGTGTGAATGGTCTTTTGACAAATGGTAGTATTACAATTCTTCAATTATAGTTGAGACCAAAAGATATACAAGTTAAGCTGAGACAGTATATATGGGTAAGTTAGCTGAGACAGCTATACCAGCTGAAGGCTGAGTATACTATATTTAGGCTGGTAGTTTATTTCAAGGTTATTAGGAAGACTCATTACATTATGTATTTTAATAGTATTTGTGTGTATTTAGTATACGTTTCTAACATTGATACATATATATTTTAGTGATTATACATTGATATGTTCTTAAGTTATATTATTCTTTAAATATATAGCTGAGGGTTCATCAGCATACATATGTTCCTGTCCATCAAACATCATATGTATAGCATCCCTTCCTTATATGAAATGGCTTTGCTAAGCAGTAATAATTTCCATAGAAGGTATTAAGATCACTAACTATGACATACATTTGCCTCATAAAAAACCATGGGACAACGGACAAGAAGGAACTCACTCGGACTCACACGCTAATACTGACATTCTAACACACACATGGCTGTTCATAAGAACTTTCTGAGATGCTGGAACAGGTGCTGCAAGACAAGAGATCATCATTAACGTCACTTCCAGTAATAATTTCCATAGAAGGTATTAAGATCACTAACTATGACATACATTTGCCTCATAAAAAAACCATGGGACAACGGACAAGAAGGAACTCACTCGGACTCACACGCTAATACTGACATTCTAACACACACATGGCTGTTCATAAGAACTTTCTGAGATGCTGGAACAGGTGCTGCAAGACAAGAGATCATCATTAACGTCACTTCCGTCTTCTTTCTCGGACTCTGTGTTGTACAAGACAAGATCACATGAAGGACAGTACAGCACATGGCCGTACTTCAATACCTAAAAATGGTGACTTTATCTTTAAATGTTTGCTTGTTATTTCTACTGTAGTTTTATCTACATGGAACTGTTCATAATACACTTTACATTGTTATTTTACACCATTGTGTGATAGAATAAAATCACACTTCATTTTTTATTTCAATGGCACTTTCATTCATAATCGCCTCAAGACACTAGAAGAAGTATTATATGTGTCTAAAAATCCAACACTGAGATACTGAATTTTGGGTTTTCATTAACTGTAAGCCATAATCATCAAAATTAAAAGACAAATGCTTGAAATATATCACTCTGTGTGTAGTGAATAAATATAGGCGTTTCACTTTTTGAAGTACTGAAATAAATTAACTTTTTGATATTCTAATTTATTGCGATGCACCTGTATGTGTATACAAATATACTGACACCTAGTGAGAGTGTTGAGCATTGCAGCCAATAATCCCCATAAGCAGTTCAGCAAGCCCCCAGAAAGTGAAGAGAAATCCCCCAAAATAGACAGAATACAAAATCCACACAATTTTAACTCTTCACTTCTCTATCCAAATCTAAATAAAATGCCGCTCAGAAGGGATTCGCTACAATGACATCAAACACCTAGATTACATTTCTCCTGCTGCAGCAGTTCAGTCATGCAGTACAGAGCACACTAGGAACTGCAATTCTTCAGCAGCTTTACAGACACTATCTATACTATTACATTAGAACCATCCGGTAGAACAAAGTTCATTCCCACTAGCCAGCCACTCACTCGCTACGTTCCACTTTCCACACCGGAATAAAAAAACTTCCTGAACCCCGCGCTTTACGTCATCAGAGAGCGCCTGTGTATTATGGGCGGGGCATGATGTGTCAGCAGGTTTGCTAGCTACACTCCTGGCCTCTCATAAGCGATGACAAAGCAAATGGGCGTGTCTTTTTCCAAGTTGGAATGGGTGCCCGTGGTGAGCGTGGGCCGGAAGAGTTAGCCGTGCCTGTGATTGGCTGGAATCACCGCAGTGGGCGTGAACAGTGAGGGCTGTCAGTGTTACCTGGTTGTCATACGGAGCTTCCTGGGGTTCGGTGACAGAAGAGTCCCGGCATGGAGTCCGCTCAGGGTCCTCATTCCGTCCGGTTGTACGTGTATGACCTGTCCCGCGGCTTGGCTCGGCGCCTTAGTCCTGTCATGCTGGGTAAGCTTCACTTCATGGAATTGTGTGAGATGGGCAGGCAGAGGGGTCTGTCAGTGCTGTGCTTGTACTCGGTACGGGGGGGCCATAGATGACTGCTTGTCTCCTATGACTTTGTAGGCCCGATACTGCCGACCACAGGGATCATTATCACTGACATATATAGACTGGCCTGGACTCGACGTACAGTGTAAGGGCATAGAAAATCTATCTGCGGGCTATCCCATCATTTCCTCTATATGACACTTACCAATCGAAGTCTGAAGTCGGGGACATACTAAAAGGAATGACAGAATGGAATGCCCATAGACCGTAATGGGGTAGAAGGGAATGCCCATAGACCGTAATGGGGTAGAAGGGAATGCCCATAGACCGTAATGGGGTAGAAGGGAATGCCCATAGACCGTAATGGGGTAGAAGGGAATGCCCATAGACTGTAATGGGGTAGAAGGGAATGCCCATAGGCCGTAATGAAACAAGGGAATGCCCATTGACTGTAAAGGAACAGTAGGGAATGCCCATAGGCGATAATGGAATAGAAGGGAATGCCCATAGACCGTAATGGAACAGAAGGGAATGACCATTGACCGTAAAGGAACAGAAAGGAATGCCCATAGACCGTAATGGAACAGAAGGGAATGCCCATTGACCGTAAAGGAACAGTAGGGAATGCCCATAGGCAATAATGGAATAGAAGGGAATGCCCATAGACCCTAATGGAACAGAAGGGAATGCCCATAGGCGATAATGTAACAGAAGGGAATGCCCATAGGCGATAATGTAACAGAAGGGAATGCCCATAGGCGATAATGTAACAGTAGGGAATGCCGATAGACCATAATGGGGTAGAAGGGAATGCCCATAGACCATAATGGGGTAGAAGGGAATGCCCATAGACCTTAATGGGGTAGAAGGGAATGCCCATAGACCGTAATGGGGTAGAAGGGAATGCCCAAAGACCGTAATGGGGTAGAAAGGAATGCCCATAGACTGCAATGGAATAGAAGGGAATGCCCAATGACCGAAATGGAACAGAAGGGAGTGCCCATAGGTGATAATGGAACAGAAGGGAGTGCCCATAGGCGATAATGGAACAGAAGGGAGTGCCCATAGGCGATAATGGAACAGAAGGGAATGCCCATAGGCGATAATGGAACAGAAGGGAATGCCCATAGGCGATAATGGAACAGAAGGGAATGCCCATAGGCGATAATGGAACAGAAGGGAATGCCCATAGGCGATAATGGAACAGAAGGGAATGCCCATAGACCGTAATGGAACAGAAGGGAATGCCCATAGACCGTAATGGAACAGAAGGGAATGCCCATAGACCGTAATGGAACAGAAGGGAATGCCCATAGACCGTAATGGAACAGAAGGGAATGCCCATAGACCGTAATGGAACAGAAGGGAATGTCCATAGGTGATAATGGAACAGAAGGGAATGCCCATAGGTGATAATGGAACAGAAGGGAATGCCCATAGACCGTAATGGAACAGAAGGGAATAACCATACACGTAATGGGTCAGAAGGGAATGCCCATAGACTGTAATGAAACATAAGGGAATGCCCATAGACAGTTATGGAACAGAAGGGAATGCCCATAGGTGATAATGGAATAGAAGGGAATGCCCATAGACTGTAATGGAACAGAAGGGAATGCCCATAGACCAGGGGTGGCTAACCTGTGGCTCTCCAGCTGTTGTGGAACTACATTTCCCATGAGGCATTGCAAAGATGGGAAGTTACTGACTTGCAGAGGCATGATGGAACTTGTAGTCCTGCAGCAGCTGCAGAGCCGCAGGTTGGCCACCCCTGCCATAGACTGTAATGGAACAGAAGGGAATGCCCATAGACCTCAATGGAACAGAAGGGAATGCCCATAGACCTCAATGGAACAGAAGGGAATGCCCATAGACCGCAATGGAACAGAAGGGAATGCCCATAGACAGCAATGGAACAGAAGGGAATGCCCATAGACAGCAATGGAACAGAAGGGAATGCCCATAGACAGCAATGGAACAGAAGGGAATGCCCATAGACAGCAATGGAACAGAAGGGAATGCCCATAGACAGCAATGGAACAGAAGGGAATGCCCATAGACAGCAATGGAACAGAAGGGAATGCCCATAGACAGCAATGGAACAGAAGGGAATGCCCATAGACAGCAATGGAACAGAAGGGAATGCCCATAGACAGCAATGGAACAGAAGGGAATGCCCATAGAAGCAATGGAACAGAAGGGAATGCCCATAGACAGCAATGGAACAGAAGGGAATGCCCATAGACAGCAATGGACCAGAAGGGAATGCCCATAGACCGTAATGGAACAGAAGGGAATGCCCATAGACCGTAATGGAACAGAAGGGAATGCCCATATTCCGTAATGGAACAGAAGGGAATGCCCATATTCTATAATGGAACAGAAGGGAATGCCCATAGACTGTAATGGAACAGAACGGAATGCCCATAGACTGTAATGGAAAACAAAATAAATCATTTGCAGGCAAATCTCAATTTTAAACATCACCACTGAATGTGGAGAGTATGTCTGGTAAAGATTTGACAGTTGAAAAATTACAATTATTTTTGACAGTTGATAAACCACAGTGTTTTTTATCAATTGAAAAATGAAAGTTGGAAAATGACAGTTATTTTTGGACAGGTTAAAAATTTGTTATTTTTTACAGTTTGGGAAATGACAGTTATTTTGGATAGTTATTAATGACAGTTGGAAAATAAGTTATTTTTGGACAGTTGGAAAATGAGTTATTAACGACAGTTGGAAAATTAGTTATTTTTGGACAGGTGGAAAGTGAGTTATTTTTGGACAGTTATCTTTGGACAGTTTTTTTAATAACTAGCATTAATAACTTTCACTATGATCGATATTAATGACAGTTGAAAAATGACACTTATTTTTGGACAGTTGGAAAATGACAGTTATGTGACACAGATTTGTTTGCAATTATATTTTGCTTTTCCTTATATTCTATGGGCACTGTCATCCACCTTTCTTATTCCATAGAAAGCAGTGATAATCCAGTTGAATCTCAATTTTAAACATTACCACTGAATGTGGAGAGCATGTTTGCTAACATTTTTTTCCTTATATACCTAAATGGTTCTCTCTCCAGGTTGCATCTTGGTTCCCATTATACCCTATGGGCACTCTCTTGTCATTCACCTTTGTCATTCCGTAGAAAACTACTATAATCCCATAGGATTCCAATTTTTCAATCTGAAACTCTACTTGGGGAACGCATGTGGTAAAGGTGAAATTGCTATGTTTATTAGATTTCTGTGTAAATTACTTTATATTTTCTTTCCCAGTTTGGGCATTCCCTTCTGTCATTCACCTTTGTCAATCCATAGAACACAAATATAGTCCTGCTTAATCCCAATGTTAAACATCACAACTAAATTTGATGTCTGCTAAGGATTTATTTCATATGTCTAATGCTTCTGACCTCAAATCACATTTTATTTCCCATTATACTATATAGGCATTCCTTTATGTTATTCATCTGTAATTCCTGAGAAAACTGCTATAATTCCAACTAATTTAGTTTTTAGAATCTGATACTCTATTTGGGGAACACCTGTGGGCAAGGTTACATTGCTATGTTTCTCAGATTTGTGTGCAAATTAGTTTATATTTTGTTTACTGTTATATTCTATGGGCATTCCCTTCTGTCATTCACTTTTGTTATTCCATAGAAAGCAATAATAATCCCGCCTAATCTCAATTTTTAACATCACCACTGAACTTGGAGAGTATGTTTGCTAAGGATTTATGTGATATGTCTAATGTTTCTGACTCCATTATTCTCTTCTGTTCCGTTATTGTCTATGGGCATTCCATGCTGTCATTCCTTTTAGTATGTCCCCTGAAGTCCGATTAGTATAGCAGCCAAGCAACTATAATGTTCAGGAGGAATGGCCAGCTATAGCATAGTTCCCTCAGTTCAGGTTTATTTTAAAGTGTAACTAAAAGCAAACTTTGTTTTTGCCTTGGACAGAGTAGAGAGGGATTAGAGCCCCTGTCAGGTTTTCATTGCTGTCTACCCCCTGACACTGTTAGGGAGACTCACCCTCTCTATTTGTCCTGTTTATCATTAGCATCGAAAGTAAAAGAAAATAGCACATTTTCAGAAACCTAATAGTGGATAACTTTCCAATGGGGGCACTAGTTCTGGTAACAACTAGGGATTCCCTCACTTTGCCCAGATTTCCACTCTTTCTGTGTTGACCATGGGACAGGAAGTGAAGAATAATTTCCCAAACAGGGACATAGATGAAAATAAAACTTTACAGGGGTTATAATCCTCCTGTACTCTCTCCAAAATGGGGAAACATTTTGCCTTTATTTCTACTTTAAAGAGGAAAGTTTTTGTGTTTATTAAAAGTCAGCAGCTCCAAAAAACTGCCAGGGTCCAGCTCACCTGCGCTGTCCCTTTCCTTCTTCTCTCCCTGGTGCTGGCATTTCACAGCTTGCGGCTTCACAGCTGGGTGCCCGCTGCACATGCGCTAGTCGCTCTCCGCATCCTGTTTGGTCCGACAGTCTACTGGCACCTGTGAAGCTTCCCAGGAGACCGAAGGAGGGGGGTCGAACGTCCGGCTCACTTCACCGCAGCAAACTGAGCCGGAAGTAGGAGCGGGTACCTGTCAAAAAACAGTGCACTATGTTGCATCATATAAAGCTTACTTAATTCTCAAAACTACTAAAAAATTGGTGAACATCCAATGTTATGGATACAGTATTCTAATACCGTTATAACTATGCAAGCACCTGATTTTGCTTGTGTGCCTCTATTCCATAATCTGTTCAGCCTGAGGCAAGCTACAGACGGTGCTGTGTGTCTGCACATTGTCCTGTACCTCTGAATGGCCAGCCAAAGGATGAAAACTGACCACACTGATACAGATCAGTTTCTCTTTTTTGTGTGGCCAGTTTAGAACAAGGAAGAAAGGTGACTGGCAGGATCATCCAGGTACTTCAGATGGAATAACTACATGAAAATGATAGAGACTATGGTTTATAAAATATACATATGTGAACACAGACATAGAAAAAAATATTTCGGGTATCATATACTTTAAAGTGCAATTACACTACAGTTCTCACCTGCATCCCTCGATGGAGATTTAATAGTATGTAACTTGTGCTTGCTTTTAATTCAGGTTGTCACTTCAAGCAGAACTAAACCATCCTATTCTTTACAGCCAAGGAAGCTGCCATCTTAGCCTCTGTTTGGTCTGCAGTTGCCATGGTGCTGTACATGTGATCAGCTATGACACCAGCTATTTGATGGTTTACCAGTTTAGTTAAGAGCTAACATAAGCACACTAGTAAACTGTAACAGTTATTCAAGGTACACGATGAATGTTACTGTTTTGGGAAACAGTTAAAATGGTTGTAAACCTCAGAAATGAAATATAAACAAAGCACCACCTTCTATACTATATACCTGTCTCAGTCCAAAGCACTGAATGTGATTTCTCTCTGCTGCCTTCTTCCTCTGTTATCTAATTGAGTCACTTCTGACAGCTATTCCTGGCTCCAAGAGATAACTGGTGATAGGGGAGGGGAGATCCAGCACACAGCCTGTGATTGACAGCACAGCTGTGCATGAACCCTGTGTACTGTGAGGATGTGTCACTTCTCTCCAGTCAGGACTCAGAGCTCCCCTCACTAAGCTCTGCAGTGTGAGACTTCAAATGAAGAAAATATAGATGCCGCGCTCTATCAAAACCTATTACCTATATATAGTATAAAAAACTGTATTTGCATTTAATCTCTAATAGCTGCATAATCTCTTATGTATAACCATACATGATTGTAATGCCAATCAATACCCAAACATGTGTTGGTTAATAATGAATAAATTAAATTTGAAAAATATATAACAAAGTTGGTGATAGAAAAAAAAAAAAAAAAATAAAGTCTGTGCAAAATTATTCAAATGTGTCCTTCGATGATTAAATAAATAATCCAATTAATAAATAAATATCAAAAATAAAAATTGAGAAATATGGAAAATAAAAGGTAAAAATTCAATGAGTTTTGTGCAAAAACGCAAAACAAACTTGGTGCAGAGTTCAGCAGGGATGAGATATCTGTGTGCTCTCCTTCCAATCAGCCTGAGGTGATGCAGGTGAAGGTTGCAGATAAAGGGCTACTATGTAAGCCTGAATGGTCATATGGATCTCCCTCCTCAGATCTTTCCTTGATCCAGCCCTTTAAGTATTCCTCATACAGATCATGTAAATAGAGAAAAGTGCATAGTGCTTTATCGTTGATAAAAATAAAAACACTTTAATATGCGCTCAATATGCACTCACATTGATTAAAAACAATCTGCACTTTGTATAATAGCCGCTTAAAGTGGTGAAGACCAGCCTTCGGATGTGCTCGCATACACTACCAGTGCTCGCCTTGTAAGGATGCCTGGTGATGTCACTGCCCCCTCCCCAACGTGTATCTCCACAGGGATTCGTGGCTTCGTCCGGAGGATTTACGTCCCTGTGGAAATACAAAATATAAAATATTAAAATGTGTGTTTTTGAAGGCTGTACAGTACATATGGCTGCAGATAAACAGGTACAACTTATATAGTAGGTTTTGTTTCATCTCTGCATATCACTTGATGCTAGTCACTTCACTTGGTATACTGTATGTAAGAGTTTTCAACCACTTTTAATCTGTGGGCTTAATTCCGCCTTAAGCAACTACTGCAAAAGAAGATGGTTATTTTAAAGTGACTCTATCACCACAGGGTCATATACAAAAAAGACCAACATATAAAAGAAAAGGCACTATACTTACACTATATTGCCAAAAGTATTGGGACACCCCTCCGAATCATTGGATTCAGGTGTTCCAATCACCTCCATGGCCACAGGTATATAAAATCAAGCACCTAGGCATGCAGACTGCTTCTACAAATGTTTGTGAAAGAATGGGTCACTCTCAGGAGCTCAGTGAATTTAAGAGTGGTACCATGATGTGCAATAAGTCCATCCATGAAATTTCCTTGCTACTAAATATTCCACGGTCAAATGTTAGTGGTATTATAACAAAGTGGAAGCAACGGTTAACAGCAACTCAGCCATAGAGCGGGGTCAGCGCATGGCGAAGCACACAGTGCACCAAAGTCACCAACTGTCTGTAGAGTCAATAGCTAAAGACCTCCAAACTTGGTGTGACCTTCAGATTAGCACAGCAACAGTGCGCACAGAGCTTCATGGAATGGGTTTCCATGGCCGAGCAGCTTCATCCAAGCCGTGAATCACCAAGTGCAATACAAAGTGTTGGATGCAGTGGTGTAAAGCATGCCACCACTGGACTCTAGAGCAGTGAAGACGTGTTCTCTGGAGTGACGAATCATGCTTCTCTGTCTGGCATTCTGATGAGCATGTCTGGGTTTGGTGGTTGCCAGGAGAATGGTACATGCCTGACTGCATCGAGCCAAGTGTTAAGTTTGGTTGAGGGGGATTATGGTGTGGGGTTGTTTTTCAGGGGTTGAACCTGGCCCCTTAGTTCTAATAAAGGGAACTCTTAAGTCATCAGCACACCAAGACATTTTGGACAATTTCATGCTCCCAACTTTGTGGGAACAGTGTGGGATGGATCCATTCTTTTCCATCATGACTGCGTAGCAGTGCACAAAGCAAGGTCCATAAAGACATGGATGAGCGAGTTTGGGGTTGAGGAACTTCATTGGCCTGCACAGAGTCCTGGCCTCAACCCGATAGAATACCTTTGGGATGAATTAAAGCGGAGACTGTGAGCCAAACCTTCTTATCCGACATTGGTGACTGACCTCACTAATGTGTTTCTAGAAGAATGGTCAAACATTCCCATAGACACACTCCTAAACTTTGTGGACAGCCTTCCCAGAAGAGTTGAAGCTGTTATATCTGCAAAGGGTGGGCCAACTCAATATTGAACCATACGGACTAAGACTGGGATGCCATTAAAGTTCATGTGTGTGTAAAGGCAGGCGTCCCAATACATTTGGCATTATAATGTACTTTTCCGGTGGCCCGTGTCTTAAAACACAGCCACATCGGTGCTCTCCAGCTGCTGCAGGTATTTGACTGGTCAGAAGGGTCAATTCCTGCTCCCCCTGCCACATATAATGGATTCTTCAGCCAGCTTTACATCCATTAGTGACATACGAGTCAGTGGGAAAAAAAATTCAGCATTCATTGTGAGGGGCAGATATTTACTCACTAGAAAGTGTGGAATACGTGCAGGCGCTAGAGAGCATTGAAGCACCAGTATGTCAAGAAGTGGGCCACCAGAAAGATAACTACAGTACTTCTTTTATACAGTAGGGCTGTTTTTTTGTAAGTGATCCTGTGGTGACAGGTTCACTTTAAAATGATAAACACATACCTATTTATATTGTGCTCTAGTATTTCCTAATAATCCTCGAGGTGATTGTAGCCATATTAGTGCACTTGCGACAGAAAAAATTGAGTACTGACGTGATACTTTTTTTATTTGCACTAACATACAATTTTGAGGACAAGCTTTCAGGGTATGTCCCCTTTTTCAAGGTATAGGCAGTACTATTAGTACTGCCTAGACCTTGAAAAAAGGAATATACCCCGAAAGCTTGTCCTCAAAATTTTTTAATAGTGCAAATACAGGTGAAACGTGAAAAATTAGAATATCATGCAAAAGTTCATTTATTTCAGTAATGCAACTTAAAAGGTGAAACTAATATATGAGATAGACTCATTACATGTAAAGCAAGATAGTTTAAGCCATGATTTGTCATAATTGTGATGATTAGGAAATACTAGAGAACAATATAAATAGCGTCTGGGAGGTATGTTTGGGTCCTAACTCTTTGGGTCTGGCGTGATATTCCAGTGCTGGTACTAGGCCTTTCATCCTGGGGTCTAGCTCCATTGGCGTTTTGCTGATTGATCATTTGGGTGTATGGCGCTGCTTGTGGTTGCCTGTTCTTCAGAGCATCTTGCTCTTTTAGGAGAGACTGCCTCCTCCTTGGATTCAGTCACCGATCCACTACTTTCTACTGGCTCGCATTCCAACTTGTAATCGGACAGTGAGAGCTCACCGCTGCTCTTGTTTATCATACTTTGGATTTTGAAAGCCTCCTTACTAGTGAAATATTTTTTTGACATCTTGGCTGTATGACAGGCAATTGTGATGGGTACCCTGCTGATGGGCGGCAGTGATGACGGCTATATGATGGGTACACTTAATAGGCTGCACTGATAACAGGTACACTGATGGGCTGCACTGGTTGGCTGTGCTGACAGGTACGCTGATGGGCTGTGCTCACAGGTACGCTGATGGGCTGCACTGGTGGGCTGTGCCGACAGGTACGCTGATTAGCTGTGCCAACAGGTATGCTGAAGGGCTGTGCTGATGTATGACGTCCTCCTGGAGGGAAGAAAGGTCCACCCAGCCGTCATTCTACCATAGGCCAGGCGGTCACAGGTTAAAAAAAGAATAAAATGAAGGATACTGTTGTATTGGTGAACATGTACTTTTTAGAATAGGACATTTCTTATTTCAGCATTTATTCATGATGTTTTTCTTCTTCAGGTAAGCAGCTAGAAGGAATTTGGTAAGTTTTTTCATTTTTTGTTTTTAACACAGTAATGTGTCTTTGTTGTTTTATCATACTTAGGCTCCATTCACACTTGTGCAACTTCAAAATCGTGTGACTTTATTATTTGTATTATTATACAGTATTTATATAGCGCCAAAAAGTTTGCTCAGCGCTGTACATTATAGTGGGAGACAGTACATGAGACAATACAGTAACAATACAATACACGAGGGGTTCGAGGGCCCTGCTCCTTGGAGCTTACAATCTAGGGGGGAGGGGATAGGGGTACAGGAGGAAATGGCTGTGGGGGATGGAGTGGTAGGAGGAGTGGAGGAGATCGGCTGTTAGGTGAGGGTGGGGTTGGCTTCCCTGAAGAGATGGGTTTTCAGGGTGCGCCTAAAGGTGAGGAGGGTAGGTGACAGTCTTATGGATTGGGGTAGGGAGTTCCAGAGGATGGGAGAAGTCCTGGAGTCGGGCATGGGAGGAGGAGACCAGGGAGCTAGAGAGTAGGAGGTCTTGTGAGGAGCGAAGAGTACGTGTTGGGTGGTATTTGGATATCAGGTCGGTGAGGTAGTTTGGGGCAGTATTATGAATAGCTTTGTACGTCAATGTTAGTAGTTTGAATTTTATGCGTTGGGCAATCGGAAGCCAGTGGAGGGAATGACAGAGGGGGTGGCGGATACAGAGCGGTTGGTAAGGTGGATGAGTCTGGCCGGTGAGTTCAGGATAGACTGAAGCAGGGATAGTCTGTGATGAGGTAAGCCGGTGAGGAGGGAGTTGCAGTAGTCGAGTCGTGAGATAATAAGGGAGTTAATGAGTTGTTTAGTAGTGTCTGGGGTTAGGAACGAACATATTTTGGAGATGTTGCGGAGGTAGAGCCTGCATGAATTTGCCAGCGATTGGACATGGGGCTGGAAGGACAGATTGGAGTCTAGAGTGACGCCTAGAACTTTGGCTTGCGGGGTGGGACTGATGGTGGCATTATTGGTCTTGATGGAGAGGGTGGGGGCGCGGTCTGGGGGGAAAATTAGGAGCTTGGTTTTGGAATGGTTTAATTTGAGAACGTGGAGTGACATCCAGTCTGATATGTCGTTCAGTAGGCAGGTGATTCGGGCGGAGACTGAAGGGGTGAGGCGAGGGGTAGAGGTAGATTTGCGTGTCATCGGTGTAGAGGTGGTAGTTGAAGCCGTGGAAGTGTATCAGTTGGCCAAGGGAGGAGATGTAGATGGAGAAGAGAAGGGGCCCGAGGACAGAGCCTTGGGGGACCCCAACAGAGAGGGGGAGAGAGGGGGAGGTGGCAGCATTTTAGGTAACACTGAAGGAGCGCTGGGATAGGAGGAGAGCCAGGAGAGAGCGGAGTCTCTGATGCCAAGAGAGTATAGTTTTTTAAGGAGGAGGGGGTGGTCAACTGTGTCGAAGGACGCGGAGAGGTCGAGTAGTAGTAGGAGGACTGAGTAGTGGCCATTAGCTTTGGCGGTTAGCAGGTTGTTGGTGAGTTTGAGTAGTGCGGTTTCGGTGGAGTGGACGGAAGCCAGACTGTAGGGGATCAAGGAGGTTGTTGTCGTTGAGGTGGGAGCTTAGGCGATTATAGACTAAGCGCTCGAGGAGTTTGGATGTAAATGGCAGCAGGGAGATGGGTCTAAGGTTGTTCAGGTTGGTGGGGTCCAGGGACGGTTTTTTGAGTATGGGAGTGATGTGCGCATGCTTTAGGGGGGAGGGGAATGCGCCAGTAGAGAGGGAGAGATTGAAGATGTGGGTGAGGGAGCATAGGATGGAGGAGGAGGGTGACCGTTGACCGTAGGAGTTGTGTGGGGACAGGGTCAAGGGGGCAGGTGGTTAGGCGGGCTTCGGAGAAGACCTTAGTGACCTCTTCAGTGGTAGCAAGGTCGAAGGAGTGGAGTGTTGGGGGGGGTTTTAGTGTGCGGGGTGTTAGGTTGGGTGGGGGTCTGGGCAGTTGTGAGCTCAGAGGAGGGGAGTGTTGAGGGGGTTATCATGGGAGGGAGGCTAGGTGGGGTGGAAGTCTGAGCATTGGTGTCCCTACAAATGTCCCTACAAATTGCGTTGATCTTGTTTTGGAAGTGGTTAGCAATCTCTTGGGCGGTGAGTGAGGTACTGGGTGGAGGTGGGGGGGGGGTGAGAGTAGGGAGTTAAAAGTGGAGAAGAGCTGGCGAGGACTGGAGGAGAGGGTATCGATGAGGGTTATGAAGTAGGCTTGTTTGGCAGCTTTACAGAGTGACTTTGATGCGATTTTGGCTTTGACCAAGGATGATTGTTTGTGCTGTACAAAGTCGCATGTATAACATTTAGGTGCGACTTTCATGTGACTTTGGAGGATTCACATTGAAGTCTATGGCCCTCAAGTCGCATCAAAGTTGGACCAAAGTAGTGCAGGAACTACTTTGAAGTCGCTGCAACTTGAAGTCTCACAGATATGAATGGTACTCATTGGGAAACATGGAGTGCAACCTGTCATGTGTCTTTAGACCCCAAGATTGCATGACAAGTCGCACAAGTGTGAATGCACTTTTAATCCCTAATTGGTTGACATTTAGAGGCTCATTTATATCCCTGTCTGCTCTCTGTTATACGCTGTAGGGCTGCGCACACAGTGGGCCGCGTTTTATGGCCTAGTCATAAAATGCAGGCCGCAGTGCAGAGCCTCTCAGATTTTCTTCAGATTATCTCAGTTGAGAGTGCTCCATGATTGGAGGAGAGCTGGGTCATATTATCACTTTGGCAGGTCACATGACCAGGTTTGTTCCCCCTCCTTCCCCTTTCTCCTGCAGTCCTGAAGCTGGTGGAGCACAATCCATGTTTGTAAAACACATCATTATGCTTTATAAATTATACATAATTATGTGCATATTTTTTTTTAAACTTTTACATCATAGACCATTTCATCATTGTCCTAGATTATCTTCTTGATAATGACAATAGTTGACTATGCCTGTGCAATGTGTATCAGCACAGCCACTTACAGTCTCCACCAGGCACTCATGTGAAACCATGACAAAGCAAGAGAACAATTGGGGAACAATTTTCACACATAACAGGGAGTAGAAGAAAAAGAACCATGGCAGGATCACCAGGGATTTCTTTAATAAAGGCTGCATATTTAAAAAGACTGAAAACAAACTTTTATAATTTACGTTGCAATGGAAACAGCTGAGATTTTAGTGAATGGACTTAGGTCAAGTTTAACTGGTAAACGTGTCATCTATATTTATTTTTTATTTTTTTAAGCTGGACCAGAAATAAACATATGCAACACATTACAAAACAGCTGAAATTACTTTGTTGCAATGTGTGAAGTAAACCTTCTCTCCACCTTTACTTTAATCTTCCTTTAATTCAAGGATACTGCATGTAACAGCCTATAATGACAAATTCAGGAGACAAGCTTGTTTCTTTCCAGAGTAGGCCCATACATTGCAATTTATAGCCAAAGAAGTTTCAGTTTATGTGACCTAGGAGGACATATGCCTTTTCTGCTGCTCTGTTTTTAGCTGGAATTCCAACTAAGGCTAAGCTACTTCCACCCCTATTCTAAACCTATTCTATCTAATCCTGTAAAGAAAGGATCTCTATACATACCTATTCTGAACTCGGTCCCTGTATCAGCTGTCACCTGCAGCTTCTGTGTAGAGGAGGGGCAGCCAACATTGGATTCCCCATAGTAAGTTTTTGGGTGACGTCATCTCCCAGGCATTTCCAGCCACTGAGATCTTTCTCTTTTATGCACAGAAGCCATCACTGGAGACTAGATCTTTTCTTTACAGAGTTAGATTATAGAATGCACAAAGCAAATAGCTGTAGCTGCAAATGTAGTTTGTGACAATCTGCTAGAAGCTTCCTGGGTTATCTTTTGCATAGGTCTCCTATCAGTACACATACATAGGGAACTTTGAATAAAGTGCTGGACTGAGGAATCTGTCTATAAGAAGCATTTAAACCATATGGCCTTCAAGGGACAAAGGTTTGGAGAAAATTCCCTCAAAAATTGAACAGTTTATTTGTCTTTAGTGATCTACACCATGTCTCTTTTGATCTACTCTTGATATTGTAATTAAGAAGGCAAAAGCACACATCTTCATCAGTCTTCTCTTTTAAAGCTCTTAATGTCTTCATTTGAGCCCAGAAATTTTACACTGAATTATTTCTTCCATTTACAGAGAGTCTTCCTGACTTCTGTGAACATCAAGGGTACATACCTCTATGTCTCTGTCTTTTCAGAACATCAGGGTTTCCTATGTTTTACCGTGGGATGTCTGCATTACCAGTTTGTGGTCCTGCCCTTTGTCTATTCATCTGCACCTTGTGTGTTCTCCAAGGTGATTGTTGAGAGAACAGTCTTTGTGGGTCCTGTCAAACAAGGTGGCTTTGACTGTCTAGATTTTTCTGATGGATCCCAAACGTTCAGAAACTGGCAGTGGAACAGAATTCATGGACAGGCAGGAGGCAAGGGAGAGGTCAGGTTTAGGCGAAGGTCATTGGCAAGCGGCAGACAAGAGAGGGTCATGTTCAAGCTTGGTTCTTGGGAATGCCGCAGGCAAAAAAAGTAATTGGTCAATATAGGTCGGTAATGAATCAAGCGATCAGACATGAAATATAGCTCTTTTGCACAAATCAGGGTAGGTGGCAAGAACATAAAGCATCAGTTACTTCAAAGGCTGAAGCTTAAATACCTTTTTGGTCAAAGGATATGCTCAGTGACATTTCAGGGAACTTTGTAAGTCCTGAAAGGGATTCAGTGAGTAGCATTGGAAGTACTTTCAGAGATTCTGAAGCTGCCATTTGAAGTACTAGCAAGGATTCTGTGAGTGCCATTGGAAGTACTGGCAGGGAATCTAGAAATGTTTCAACATCTTCAAAGTCTCGTCTCCTTCCTTTTCTATCTTGTTTAAGAGACAACTTGCCTCCTACTCACAGATTAAGGATCTTTTGTACAGAGAGTTTCTCATGTAAGTCCCATTGTTCGTTCCCCTTTGACTCCATGAGATCTTAATTTTGTTCTTTCAGCACTTCAGAAACTGCCGTTTTAATCCATCAGAGATATTCTTCTCTCCTGTCTCACCCACAAAGTTGTATTCCTTTTAGCGATCACCTCTGCAAGGCGAGTGTCTGGATTGGCATCTTTATCCTCCAAGGACCCATTTCGGTTTTGCATAAGTGGTGTTAAGGCCCAGGACTTCCTTTTTGCCTAAAGTAGTTTCTGCCTTTTGACCTCAACGACGTCATTGTTCTTCTGTCCCTCTGTCCAGCTCTAGGTCTCCATAAGAAAATTTCCCTCCATTGTCTGGATGTAATTTAGACTGTGGGAGTCATTCACTGCTACCTTAGTGTAGTCTGTTTCCTCTTTTGCATCGGCTTCTTGCACCACCCACTCTAGGTGGCTTATGCAGACCATCATCCGAGCTTTTAGTTTTTCAAGGATCGGGTTCCCACAATTTGTCAAGGACCAATATAAGAGATCGATGAGTAGTTCTTTTTTGCCATCAAGTAACTGTTTCTTAGATATGCAAGGCTGCCACTTGCTGTTCACTCGTTCTGTAACCTGTGACAGCTGGCGGCTTCACATCCTGGTTCCCATTGTGCATGCTCGAGAAGCGCTGCACTTTGTGAATGTGGTCCCGTAGTCTTCTGGGACCTGTCACATGTCCCAGAAAACTATGGGGAGGGAGAGTTTCTGATCATCTTGGCAATCGCAGCGGAAGTGGGAGCAGGTACCTGTCAAATTCGGATACCCGCTTTCCAAAGGTGCCAATCCTTAATGGGCAGCGGGGGACAAAGCATTAAAGTGGATTTCCCCTTTTGGGTGGAACTCCGCTTTAAGGTGTAAGGTCCTTCAAGAGGCCCTTTGAGCTGTAGGCACACCTCAGTTTTCTGTTGTTTCTTGGGCTTTTGTTTGCTGTGTTCTCCACCCCTCAATTTGACTGCTTTTGGGTGTCCCAAAGGTGAAGGACTTCCTGTGTTTTTAAATAGATGTGAAAGAAAATAGGATTTTTATACTCCCCTTAATATCCTTTCTTTGGAGTTCATTGATGGACATGGGTCCCACCCTTCTGTGTATGTGTGTAATAATGCTCTTGGTACTGCTTTGCTACGGTACTATTTGCTAGAATTGCTGGTGGTGGGAGGGGTTATCCTGGGTTGGCCTACAGTTTGTTTGCCAGTTTTCAGTTTTATTATAGCCAGCAATATAACCTAATTTTCTAAATCCTTTGTCCCACAATTGACTCCTAGAAACAGATTTTATGGAGGGTACAAAATCCTATTATCTTAGCAGGATTTTTTTTATCTGCTGCATGTTTAAATTATTTTTAATTAAGATGTTGTTAATGATTGTAAAATTGAAAAGGACAATGAAATATAGACATTAACAATGGTGTTTATGCTAAATTGCTGTGACGGCTGTTAATGCATTGTTTATTAACAATATTGGGCATCCTAGATGAATCTATATAGATGTTGTATGCATTAGTGTTTAGTTGTATCATTTTCTTTTTACACTCTTCTAGCTCCCACTGACCCTCCCCCAGGAGATAAAGCTTTTTCCCATGTATCTACGTGGTTCCTAAGTGTAGTTATGCAATGGAGCTCACGTAAAGATATGAGAGAACCACTCAGCCCTGGAGTGCTGTACACACACAGGTGATGATTGTCAAAGGTTGGGCTTAGAGGAAAATGGTAGAATGGAAGAAGAGAAGATGATGTGAAGTGTTTTGTTTTTTTTTTGTTTTTTTTGTTATTTTAAATATGAAGGGGGGAAGGTGCCAAAAATAATATATACTGGAGACTTTAAAATTGGTTTACTTTTTAAAGCATAACATTACCCTATTTGCTGAATGAGTAAATGAGTTTGTGTCTGTACAGTTCAGATATAATGTTACTACTACTATAGCAGTTGTGTGTGTGTGTAGTTCTATTATGCCACATACCATCACATACTTTAAACTTTCATAATTTTTCACTACTTTTGAGTTCTAACATATTTTGTTTGCTCCACATTTTAGGCATACTTCTATTATTGTATTTGATGAAGAATTCTTCTATGGAGGAGGTGGCATCACTAGCTGTCCACCGGTAATACCATGATTTCAAGCTATTGGGTCATTTTGTTTTTGAGCAAATCTCATTAAACGTTAGAAATTGAATCTTTTGGATAGCCCAAAAGACCTTTAATCAATTTGATAGACTTTATGTGTGATGTCTGCATATATTGTGTTAAGATTGTTTACATTTGATGATAAACAAAGATTAGATGAATGTTGTCCAGTTGCAGAAATCTTAAAGGATGACTGTTCCTTTAGCACAGACGTTGTCTTTTAAGGCATGCCCTCAACCCCTGAGTGCAGCCCACCTGCATTCAGCTTCCCTTCTGAGTATTGTTCTCCCAGTAGTAAAGAATGGGGCCATTGCATATTTGCACAGGGTGAAGGGGACTTGAAGCAATGATTTGCAGCTCCTTTCAGGGCCACACAGTGAATATCATCAGATTGAAGACAAAAGTATGGTGGTGGGCTACACTCATGGACAACTTTACGAAATGTACAGTTGTCATTTTAACCCTTTTGTTCCCACTGATGTAAAACTAACTTGGAACATTTCAGCAACCATGAGCTTGTGACGGATTTCCTAGACTGTTATTCAAAAAACAAACAGCTGTGATCAGCAGCAGTCATTCATACCAAAATGTGAGGGTCCTGCCACTGCTGGCCGCTGTGTCCTGCCTATCAAATCCTCTTTTCTGTGCGCTGCAACCCTCCAACTGTCTCTGTGTGCCTCCAATCCCTGCTGCTCTTCTGACGCACAAGGCAGAAACATCGGGTTGTAGAGTGGGGAATAGGTGGGGAATTCAAGGTGGCGAGCAGAGGATCAGTAAACGCTCTCATGTTTAATGATCCTTTCACTTTTCCGAACGAACGTTGAAGTACTCACTGCTGAGCACTCTAGTGTTTGGTTATAACTGAAGGGTAAGTAAAGATGAATGGCATATTTGCTATCGCTACTGTTTTCTGACTGAATACAGAAGTGCTGAGTATTCAGCATTTCCATATTCAGTAGGTAATGCTGGGCAGCAGGGGAAAAGGAGATTGTGCCCTTGATCTTTCTATATTTCAAATGGGGTACATCGAGGGTTGTTTTGATACCTGATATTTCCCTAATGCAACCACTGTTTGAAAAAAATAATAGTAATAAAATATAAACCAGAACACCACACACAAAAAACGAAAATCGTACACAAACACTTAGGACTCACATGGGTTCAGAGGGTGGACACCATCAGTGTTTTTATGCACCCAGGAGTGACAGGTGTTTGCATACAGCTGCAGCCAGCATATCAAGTGGACGAACATCAGGGCTGTGAAGATGTGATCCTGTATCCAAGCGGTTATGTGGGTACTGGGACAGATGACCCATACTAGATCCAGAGCTGTTTGCCTGTCCCTTTATGCCGGTAACCTCTTGGACATGTATACAGCCGTGCTGTCTGTCATCAATTTGTACAGACTTCTGGCAGTGGCGGTACGCAAGCACCTGTTGATGAACTGTAAACTTATAGGCTTGTTCACACCAGCAGGCATTTGTTAGGTTTTCATAACTCGCCCATGGTTATATGCATTGTGCACTTCAGTGTGTTGACTCACTGCATTGCAGTGTTCAAATTTTTCTTTAATTCAAATTTTTAGATGCCTGTGGGAGTGAGCCCTTAAATCTACTTAATTCATTCCAGGTCCATAAAAACAAAAGGTTTGCAAAGTCTTACAGATTGTTAGTATATTTTCTTTGGAAAGCAGTTGCAGCATAATCAAAAAAGTTTCTCATGCTGTAGAGAGGGATCATTGCTGTCAGGCCCTGCTGAGTCTGAGCTAAAAAGCTCTCCAGTCAGCAGGGAGCAGGAACTTTTAATAAAAGAACCTTTTTTAATGTGGCTTACTTTTTTCAGTGAAGATAACCATTTTAAAAAGAAAGATGTATAAACAAATAGTTATTTGACATAGACCACAGTCGATCTTTTTCTACCAAATTATGGATTCTGCAATATGCAAGCATAGTATCCATACATAGAAGTACAATTTTTCTGGAACACCAGTGTATTTGTTGGTTGCACCCCCACTCTTTTTTAGTAGTCATTAGCTGACTTAAGGCTGGTTCATGCTTGTGTGAATACAAAATGCAGGTAAAAACTCATATGGAATTTCCAGCGTGAAAAAAACTTATTTGGAAGCACTTGCTTTTTTTGTCTTTTTTTTATGTTTTTTTTAAACGCATATTGCATTTAGCTGCCTTTTTTTTGTCTTTGAGTTGTCTATTCCTGTGTTATTTCTTTTTTACAAAAAATGCAGTAAAACCCATAATAGTGGAGAAAATTGCAATATAACTTACAAAGATCCTGCTAAATCTGAAAGATAAAACTGTATTGAGTTAATAAGCTCTGTATGCGAATGACGGCTCATTCACATCGGTGCTGTGGCTTGAACAGTGTGAACTAGATTTTTTTTTTTAATGCAGGAGCTGTGTGCAGGCAGCATATGTTGTGCGATCAGGACGCAGCAACTGTATGAGTACAGTCGCAGGTCCTAATTTGACAGGTGTGTAGATGCATGTGTACGACCCCAAACACAGTGTGCATTCGGGGCCACTCACCTAAACTTGCACAACTCTCAAGTTAGGATATTTTTTTCAAGTTTTTTTATTTTTTCAGATTTTTTTTTTTTTTCAATTTATTTTTCACAATGCTTTGGCGGGGGAGGGGGGGATGCAGTGGATGGTATCAGTCGTTTTTTTATCTTTATTAATTTTATTTTTTATTTTTTACAATTTAATTTATTATTACAGTTTTTCACCAGCCCTGTTGGGGGGCTTTGAGATATCCTGGATCTAAACTGACCCCTGAACTCTCACGTTTGAGACAGAGAAAGGGACTGAGGGCAGAAATTCCCCAGTTCATTTACCTGTAGCCTCAGTTGCACTTCAGATGAATGAACTGGAGACAGAGGCTCCAATTCATAAACTGAAGCATAGTAAACACAGTTTTGGCACAGTTCACCTGCGGAGAGATGCAGAAAACTGTAGCAATGTTGCAGATTTGCGTACTGCTCTGCACCGCAGGTGACAGCTGCCGGTAAGTATGAACGGCATATAGAAAAACATTCTTTTCTGCATACCCTTGTAGAGAGCTGCATTTCTCTGCTATAGTGTGCATGGGCCCTTAATCAGTAAGTTTTTTATAACAGGTCATTGCTATAAAGCAGTGGTCTCCAAACTGCAGCCCTTTGCTTGCCTTTATCCGGCCATTGGGACACTATTCTACCCACTGATATGGGACAAAATTCTGCCAACTGACAACAATGGGGCACCATATCTCCCACTGATACTAACAATGGAACACTATTCCTCCCACTGACCCCAATGATGGAGCACTAGTCCTCCCACTGACCCCAATGATGGGGCACTAGTCCTCCCAATCAGAGCTTAAAATTTCAAGTACTGAAATAGTAGAGTTACTCGCCACCAACAAACGCACACAAACAGAGACACCTGTACACAGACATGTACGTACATACACACACACACATACACACGCCGCCCCAAACTACATAACCGACCTGATACCCAAAAACTACCCTACCCGTGCCCTCCGCTCCTCACAGGACCTCCTACTCTCTAGCTCCCTGGTCTCTTCCTCCCACGCCCGATTTCAGGACTTCTCTAGGACTTCCCCCATCCTCTGGAACTCCCTACCCCAATCCATCAGACTGTCACCTACCCTCCTCACCTTCAGGTGCACCCTGAAAACCCACCTCTTCATGGAAGCCTACCCCAACCTCACCTAACACCTGACCTCACCTAACAACTAACCTCCTCCACTCCTCCCCCCACAGCCATTTCCTCCTGTACTACTTTCCCCTCCCTCCTAGATTGTAAGCTCGAAAGAGCAGGGCCCTCGAACCCCTAATGTATTGTATTGTTACTGTCTTGTCTCATGTTCTGTCCCCCTTGCTGCTGTACAGCGCAGAGCATACCCTTTGGCGCTATATAAATACTGTATAAATAATAATAATACACACGCAAAAACATGTACACACACGCACAGAGACACATCTACACACACATACATACAGACACATGTATACACACACAGGCACGTACAGACACGCATACACACAGATACATGTACATACACAGAAATACACAAGCACAGACAAATGTACATACACACAGGCACATGTACATACATACACAGACACATTTACACACAGGCACATGTACGTACATACACACAAACACACGTGTACATGCACAGACACATAGACACACACATATACATGTACATACACGCAGACGCGTACAAATACACACATGTACACACACACAGACATATGTACAATTGTACATGCATACACAGACACACACCACCACCACCACCCCACCCCCCCCAAATAAAAAGTTGCAGTACTTCATTGTTCACTCACAGATCCGGGTACTGCACTCTAGGGGGAGGCAGAGAGCACAGCACACACTCCTTGCTTTTCTTTCACTGCGCTCAGCTATTGAGCAGTCTGACGGCTCCCAGTGCCAATGACAGATCCAGCCTGAGCTCCAAGCCTGCTCAGCAAGACGGCCCTAGGGGACACACTTGCCTCCACCATACTTTCCACTCGCCATTGGCGAGCAGGCAAGTGGAGATTTCAAGCCCTGCTCCCAATGATATCAGTGATTTGACACTATTCCTCCCACTGATACCAAAGATGAGGAACTATTCCTTCCACTGACACCAATGATAGGGCACTCTTCATCCCAATGATACCAGTTGTGGGGCACGATTCCTCTCCCTTATACCAAATGTGGCAATGTTTACTACCACTGATTCCAGGAATATTTCCACTCCCACTGGCTACAGTTCGGCCCCCTAAAGTCTGAAGGACAATAAACTGGCCCTTTTGTTTAGAAAGTTTGGAGACTCCTGCTATAAAGGATAATTTCTCAGATCTATTCAACAGTGTATATCATGTAACCCTAAATATATAGTAAATCTAATTAATATTCATGAAGCCTATGTGTTGCATAAACAGCCACTGACAGTAATTGTGGGAGGCGATACATAATAATCAGGTTTTTTAAAGTTGCAATTGTGTTTGTCTTTATTCTAGGGGGGAACACTGCTGGGTCATCCAGACACTGTGGTGGATCTTGGCAACACTGAGGTGACTGAAGAGATCTTCCTGGAATACCTGTCCTCACTGGGGGAGTCTGGTTTCAGGTGGGACTGAAAAGTGTTTTTGCAAGTAATGAAAGATGAAACCGTATCTTCAAATCCATATACCATTATTTCACCTGGTCTGCCCCCTTGTTCAGCTACAGAGTGTAGGAATTTACCTGCAAACCTTACCAGTATGGGTTTATATAGGAGTAGAAATACACATCCCAAACACACATCTAGATTGTATGCTGCCTGTATGCATACATTTTTCGCTTGAAATATTTAACTCTGTTTACATTTTTTTAACAAGTTCTAGGAAGAACCTGTGAATTGTGTGAAAAGGAACCAAGAATTCTGGCTCCTTATGAATATTCAAAATAATTATATGCAATATTTACTATTTACATAACTAATATGTATAGATTATTTGTTTGTGAACATTTTTCACTTATCCAGGTCATGGTATATCTGGTGTTAATCAATCACATTTAACTGAACCAATTGTGTAATGCTGAAGATTTTTTGTAACTTTTCCAAGCCACTTCAGTTAAAATTAGTGTCCCTAAATACCCCAGCAGTTATATCCAGTTAGCATCAACACCTTGATCCAATTACCATGGAAAGGCAGATTGTCTAAGCACACCTCTGGGTTATTTTAAAGAAAAGTGCTTTAGTTGCTGTACCCTAGCTGAGAGATGTCCCCTTATTTTTGTCTCCATGTGACACTTTCTAACCAAAGCAAGAATGACGGGAAAGCATTTTCAAAAGCAGGTCTGAATGGTTGCAGTGGCAGCCTTCATATTTCTCTCAGCCTTCCCTTTTATTTTAAGCTGTCCAAAACATTACATGGCGGTAAGTCTTGCATGTGCCACTGAATAATCTCTCTACGTGCATTAGTTTATTAAAGTGTAAGCTCAGCAAAAACTTTTTTTTTTTTTTCTCAGTTTGGAATAGTGCAGGAAAGGGTTCAAATCTGTCTGTTTTGCACTGCTTTTTCTCTAGTCTTGTTGGAGAGCTTTACCCACAATTTCTGTGCCAGTAACCGATGAAATGGAAAATTGTATACTCACCTTTCTGTCATTTTTCCTTCCTGCTGCATCTCTCCATGGTAGCATACAGTGACTGTGGCTTCTCCCCCTCAAACCTATAGGACTGACTATCTATAAATTTGAGGTGGTTAGTGTCCTATGCCATTCTCACTAGCTATCAGATGCACCAGCAAAGGAAAATTACTGAACGTTGAGTATTTCAGTTGTCTGTTTATCTGGTGCATCATGGCAGTATACAGTGGTAAAAAAACACAGTCCAGGGAGGGAATAATGCAACAAATCAATTTTATTGTGACATAACAAAGTTGCGGAATGCTCCACTATTGATCTTCCAAATTTGACTGGATTCTTTCCGTAGTGCGTAATAAAAGTGCTTTTTGATGACCAAGTTGCTGCCTTGCAGATGGTTTCTGGGGATACCCTGTTACTTTTCAATATGCTGCCCAAGTTGTTTCTACAGATGTGATGGCGTGTGCCTTCAACTCTTCTAAAACTTGCAGGCCTTGAGCTTTTTGAATTGATTTACTAGCCAAGAAGCCAGTGTGAGTGCTGAAGCCAGATGAACTCTTTTTGCTCAATGAGGAGTACAAACATTCCTTCTGACTTTCTGAAAGAAGTGTTGACTGCTAGAAAAGCACTTAGTATGTTACCTAAATGTAATGGATGCAGGTCTCTTTTGGTGTCAGGGAAGGAGAGTAATACAACATCCTGGCTCCATTGAAAGGAGGAAGCAACTTTTGTGATAAACTGTAACAAGGGTTTTAGGACCATCCTGTCATTCAGGAACACCACATAAGGCTCCTGATGGCTGAAGGCTTGAATTTCAGAGACTCTTAGCTGATGTTATGGCTACAAGAAGAATAGCCTTTAGGGTTAAATGCCAGAGTGAGCTTGTATCTGCTGCATTAATTAGGGGACCTGACTTCTAGTACAACTGAAAGAAGCCATTTTTGGTGGCTTCATTTTAATGGAAGCTGTTAAGAACTGTAATACTAAGAGCTCCATTGCCCAACTTGGTGTTGGTAAGGGTAGAAATTGAAGATACTTGGGGATTTGGTGTGCTGAAGCTTAAACCTTTATCCAGGCCTGACTGCAACTAAGATGGGGTCAGGGACATGGGATCCCAGTTGTTCCCACATTAATTCCAAACTTTAAAATTAGTTTTGTTTGTGGATGATTTCCTCGCTTTTTTTAGTGTAAAAACTCATTTCTGTGAGCGTCCCAACTTCAGGAGCATTTGCCTCTCCATCTCCATGCCATTAAATTAAGTCTCTCTTGGACTGCAGTTACCAAACCATAGTTTCCTCAGCCTATAAGGGATTATTGCTACTACTATAAGCTCCTGTGACTTCAACTTGGAGAGGAACTTGGCGATCAAGGAAGTTGGATGGAATATGTAACCCAGTCGGAAATTCCAAACATGGTGGAAAAAGTCTACCCCCTCCAATAATGGGTATGGTGCTCTGATCAGGAATAAGGAACATTTTGTGTTCTGTGAAGTAACCACTAAGTCGATGGGGCACACCCCAGATGGATGAAAAACTTGCTGGTTTAGTGATACTCGTTGGAGATAAAGAATTGACTCAGTGTAGCTACTATCTAAATCTGGGTTGGAGGGAGATAGATTGCTCTGATGTTGAGAAGATGTCCCTTGGCCTGCATAATCAGCTACCTTCCTCATCAAGGTTCGACTACTGGTGTCACTTTGCCCTTTCACATAGGCCCATGAGACTTGATTGTCCATGCACAACAATACTCTGGACCCCTGGATCAGTGGGACAAGGGCTAGATTTGCTCTGGGCATTTCAGCCTATTGAACCTGTCCCATACAGATTAATGGTGCCACACTGCAACAGAGTGCATTGCATGTAGTTGCAGTACAGTGGTGCTGCATTTAAAGGTTTAAAACAAGCAGTGAGGAGGTGCCTCCTCACTGCCTGTCTAATGCCTCTGAAAAGCAATCAAAGCATTGATTGCTTTTCAGAAGAGGGGCAGTCATTGTTGCTATTGTGAACAAGCCTTAAGAAAGCCGTCCACCTAGCTTAGGAAAGCAGTTCTTATCATTCTGGATTAGGGGTCAGGATTAAAAGTAATGTACAGACATACATGCACACAATCATACATGCATACATATTGTACATAAATACACATAAACTCACGTGCATTTACATGAATACATACAGCCTTTTTTTTTTTTTTTTTTTAAATACAGATTTTCTGTAACTTTTACCCACACTGCCAGGTGAACTGTTAGCATAGTACTGCACTGTAAGGGGGAGGCAGAGCAGTCTAGGAGAAGCTTCCCTTGTCCTTTGCTCTACACACTACTGTTCCCTGATTGAGCTTCCGCTGTTCCAATATACAATTCAGAAGTTTGGAGCTCTACAGGTCTTCGTTTACAGGGCTGAGACTGGCGGAGCTTCAAACTATACATCAGCACAGTGGGAACTCGATCAGGGGAACAGCAGCCTTTCTCAACCAGGATGCCATGGCCCCCCTGACTTACTCATACAGTATCCCAGGGTGCCACAGCACCCTGATTCAGAAAGGTTGCGTGCTTGTACTATCAAAATAAATGTGGTAGAATCCTCAAAATACCCCACATAACCCCACAATTCCAAATAGAAACAACTCTCCACCCCAGAAAGTTATAAACATCAAAATATTTTTCTCTAAAAAGAATCATCCAACCCACCACTAGTGAAAAGATCCCCTGTTCAAAAAATATATTAACACGTGCTTTTCAAATAATACGTGTCCAAACACATATAATCATACACACTATATCCAAAAGTGTCCAGTGTCTTATAGTCCAAAAAACATAAAAATGAATACGTCCCACTTGAAATCACTTAGTACTGTTGAAGATCCTCAAAGGCCAGCTTCCACAGAGACCCTCAAAGAAATCAAAAACTCAACATAGTGCATTACCTTAATAACCTAATATATAACACTCCACACGTGTATTCAAACTATATAAGTGCAAAAAAAACCGTGAAAAAAGAAATAACCACTGCAACTTGTGCCAAAACAGTGATGTGTTCCACTCAGTGTAAATCACTTCAATAGTGTATCACTTCTAATGCTTCTGGCATATATACCCTTACCAGAAAAAAATATCAAAACCGCTGTAAGGTACAGTATGGAGAAGTCCACAACACTACTCAGCCTCCTTGTCTCCACTCCTGACTTTATAGTAGTATTCTCATCCCCTCATGGTATCACCAGTCAGTTCCCCGGTCATTCGGATCCATGCAGGGTGTATATGAGGCAGTAATAGTGTAAGACCGTAACATACCAGGAAATAAGCTTTAATGAATCTGATTACATGTATACAATAAAATTAGCGCAATTTGGAAAAGACCCCACAATCTGGGGATTACCAAGCAGCTTCTGGGTGGATATCCATGCGATTCCCAACTCCAAGATGGCCGCCGTATCACTTCCGGTTCCTGCTCCGTACGTCCAACGTCACTTCCCCTGACACGTTTCGTCACATCCGGGACTTAATCTTAAACATGTAAGCAGATTCATTAAAGCTCATTTCCTGGTATGTTACGGTCTTACACTATTACTGTCTCATATACACCCTGCATGGATCCGAATGACCGGGGAACTGGCTGGTGATACCATGAGGGGATGAGAATACTACTATAAAGTCAGGAGTGGAGACAAGGAGGCTGAGTAGTGTTGTGGACTTCTCCATACTGTACCTTACAGCGGTTTTGATATTTTTTTCTGGTAAGGGTATATATGCCAGAAGCATTAGAAGTGATACACTATTGAAGTGATTACACTGAGTGGAACACATCACTGTTTTGGCACAAGTTGCAGTGGTTATTTCTTTTTTCACTGTTTTTTTGCACTTATATAGTTTAAATACACGTGTGGAGTGTTATATTAGTTTATTAAGGTAATGCACTATGTTGAGTTTTTGATTTCTTTGAGGGTCTCTGTGGAAGCTGGCCTTTGGGGATCTTCAACAGTACTAAGAAGTGATTTCAAGTGGGA